TGGGCCACCCAAGTTCGGGCAGCGCTTCCTTTAGCGGATCGGCTGAGACTTGAGCACTCAGTACACTGTTCCGATTCACAGAGGCCCTGGTCTTCTGACTGAGTCTGGTACATCATTTTGAGCCTAGCACAATTTAAAATACTGAGTGATGCTGGAGTCTAGCAAGAGTTGAAGTGATCAGGTTTCTTAAAGCCCCTTCATTCCTTCTGCAAGTAGGGCAAGAAAATGGGCAGCTTTTTTTTACCAGGAACATGGATGGTACAAAGGTCTAATTTCACTTACAGCTCAGTGATAATCGGCATAGTTCGGAGGACTAAGGCCTTAAAAATGGTCAGCTTTGCTGATTCATGATGACTGCTGTCATTCAAAGTATGTCTTACAATCAACAGGATAAAACACAGTTGCGTATTATTTGCTTCTTAGCATTACCTTGGACTATTTGTTGAACTGCCATGATGACACAGAATGTTAGCAAACATTCTAACTTCCGAGGGAAAGGAATATTATCAGTCACGGAATGTTGATAACTTGTGCAGCTATTGGGGGGGGGGAAGAGAAGGGAGGTCTCATGCTGGCGTTGTTGTTGTTTTTTTTGGAAGAGAAGCCTCAGAATTAAGAACAAGTGGGATGGCATGATATCAAGGCACTGGAGGACATAAGAACATAAGAGGAGCCATACTGCATTAGACCAAAGGCCCATCTAGCCCAGCATTCTGTTCACACAGTGACCAAGGGAGTGAGGAGATGGAGAATTGGGGCCCAGGGAGCTAAGAGAGAAGAGGGGCAAAATAAGCAGCCTAATCTTTGAATACGGATTCATAAATAAAAAAAAATGTTTACTAGAAACCCTTACTTGGAGGACTCGGGCACTGTGTAAAAGTCTATCTCTTTTAGAAGGTACAACACAGCTGAACGTCCAGGAAAAGGTACCATCAGAATGTTCAGTCTACGAAAGGGCAACAAGCAAGAAGCATTTGTGTAATTCTGTGATTTTCCTCATTAAATGGGGGAACCCCTTCTAGAAGCATGCTTGCTCTTTTCAAAAGAAGAAAGGCAATTTGTATGGGTCTCACACGTCAACAGTTTGGGAGCCCATCCTACAAGGAAGCGTGCTAGAATCACAACCAGGGGTCATTTCGTAGAAAAAGAGGTCCAGGAGCTCATTAGCATAACTTATTTGCATATGTCACACCCCCTGACATCACCGAAAGTGTGTCAGAAGGCAACACCCACCGCTCAGGCTCCACTGGACTGTTTCAGATTGCTAGCTATGGGGGGGGGAGTGCAGATCTGTCCTCGCAGAGGAGGGAGAGCTTGTACCTGAATAAAACTTGGTCTTAAAGGTGCCACTGGACTGTTTTGGGGCTGGGGGGGTGTCTGCAACTTACCTGGATGCTTCTTGGTCTGACTGAGGGCTGCTGGGAGCAGGGGGTGGGGCTTGTTGCATGTGCCCGCCCCCTGGGCTCTTTACTGCCGGAGCTCCGCTCCTGTGCGCTCCTGCAGGAAATGACCCGTGATCACAACCACCCTGTAGTGAGAGGTGACTCGCCTGTGTCATCTGTGCTGAAAATGAGTGTGGTTTGCTAATGCAGTGGTTGTTAAGACGATCTGTGCCATGGTAAGACCAAGGTTGAAACTCTGATGTCCTTTACCCTCCCCCCCACAGGTCCTCTTTAAGTGAGTGTGTTGTGTCACAAGATAGTTTTAGTCCTCTGATACAGACACCGAGGTGGCCGAGGATATTTGCTAGGCTTCCCTTGACCAAACCAGCTCCTTCATAATCACCTCTCCCACTCCTGAGATCAATGGCAGCCACTTGGGAGCAGAAGGCAGATGACTGCAAAAGACCTCTAAGTGGCTTTGTCATTTCAAACCAGACCAAAGAGTGGGAGCAAGGCAGAGGAGGATGGAAGGGGACATAGCGGGTCCAGAGACTCTGAAGAACGAAGGAAAGAGAGCTATCTACACTCCACGATGTAGTAGCTGGAAAGAGAAATCATGTGAGATACTAGGGTTGCCAGCCACCAGGTGGGGCCTGGAGATCTCCTGGAATTAAAACCCCTCTCCAGACTACAGAGATCACTTCCCCTGGAAAAAATGGCTGCTTTGGAGGATGGACTCAATGGCATTATACCTTCTTGAGGTCCCTCCTCTCCACAGACCCTGCCCTCCACAAGGCTCTACCCCCACCCCCAAATCTCCAGGAATTTTGCAACCTGGAGCTGGCAACCCTATGAGAGACTGGGGAGAGGGGAGATGGTGACTGGAAATTATCCATAAGAGCTAAAAGCAGAAAATGGCCAAGAGAGGAGTGGTAGAAGTACCGGGATGTGAGGAGACAGTAGTGGTAAAATGGGGCTTGGTTGTGAAAAGGTCTGGATTTACCCTTGAAGGCCAAGGTCTGAGAGGGCTCCTGGCAACACGACAGCTTGCAAATCAGTTCCGCTAGGCTGCCTTTCCCAAACCTTTCTGAGGGAGTGAAACAGAAATCCCATTCCTCTCCCCTGGCCTTTTCTTTATCTTCCATCAGGATGACTTGATAGCATTTTGGTTACATACTCTAGGGCCCCACATCTTCTGATTCTACCACTCATTTTTGAGTACAATCCAATTGTGTGTATGGAGTGGAAGAGGGGTGCAGGTATTTCCTCTTCCCTTCCAACTTGATTGGTTAGGTGATCCACTAAGAATCATGTAAGACAGCCCTTGTTGCTGTTGGACATGGAAGGTGATATGAAGAGCTTGATGGCACAGATCATTAGACAAGGAAAGGTTATAGCTGAATGTTATTAACCACAAACTGGTTTGGTCCTCTCTTTAATGATTCACCCCAAATTTTAGTAAACAATATTTTTTTCACTATCTGATACTCAGAGTTCATTTCGGGGGGAATCGGGGGGATTGCAGTTCCCCTGGGTGAGGTACGGGGAGCGGGGCACATGACGAAGCCCCGCCCCCTGCTTCCGGCCGCCCCACTTCCGGCCCTCATTTAGCCAGGAGGAGGCAGGAGAAGAGGGAGGGTAAATTGCTTCCTCCCCGCCTCTCCCCACCCCTGCCTGCCTGGGGCCAGGAAGGGCCTTCGCGGGGCTTCGTTGCACTCCCACCGGTCTTGCAGGACCACCGGCGGGCCCCTCATGGGGCTCGGCAGTGGACCTGCAAGGCCGGCGGCTGGGACCGTTGGGGGCGGAGTGTGTGGCCTTATGACACACTTCCGGTGATGTCAGGGGGTGTGGCATATGCTAATGAGTTATGCTAATGAGTTCCCCTAGCTCTTTTTCTACGAAACGAACCCTGCTGATAGTATTAAAAAAATTAAATGGTGGGGACAACACAATATTATTAACTTGTGGCTCCAGGTGTCTTAATTGAAAAAGACTTTTCCTGTTTTGTCAAAAGTCTGTTTTGGGCATGTAGAAATTTCTTTCTAAAGGAAACAAATCTGGATATTTGAGCATAACCTACCAGTCATTCTAAAGCATAGCTATTAAATATTCTTTTTACGAAGTATGGTCATGGCATTTGCTGCTCCCTTCTCTATTTTTAGAATTGATAGCTTTATTGTGTTTTTGTTTTTAGTTCAGGGTTTAGTTGAGTTTGGTGATTCATTGTGTATTGCCTTGGGTGCCTTTGACACAAAAAAGTGTTTAATATAGTGCAAATGAAGACGACAAAGTTTCCACCCACTTCACAAAATGCTATAGTTTCGAAAGTTAAACGAAAACCACTCTTCAAAACTTTATAGTGCAATTCTGCCCCCCCCCAGCAACTAGTGGCAGGTCCTCCACCACTTGCATAGGGACAAAGTTAGATAAACAACAGGCAAATGCCAGGAGATTTGGGGGGGGGGTGCCCAGAAAAGGTGCAGTTTCAGGAGGAAGTGATATCACTTCTGACTGACACTCTAGGAACTGCCCCCCCCCCATAATATCTATGGTCGAGACCATAGAGACTTACTTAGGGCATCATAATCAACACTATTCCCCTATTTTTTTACCACACTCCTCAAATCATTGAGAGTGGGGAATTGGGGACAGGTGGCAGATGGCAAGCCTAATCGGGGATGGACTAGCTCTTTAGCTGGCAGGGAATGCCCCCACTTGGCTTCTGTCCTGGAGGGCTACTGGCACCCAGGGATGAGCCAAGGCGACCCCCAGTGGTGTTGGCATTGCCACAGGGGCCAGTAAGCTCTCAGGCCTTGCTAAGGGCCTCATGGGAGGAGCTGATAGTCACTGCTGAACAGCTCCAAACTGAGCAGCCATTGCAGGGGCAACTCAGCTTGACAGGTTCCATCCTGACTGCAGTTGGTCCAGTGAAATGATTTGTTTTTATTTCTTTTTTTTTAAAAAGTAATCATCATGCCACATATTCAAAGTGAAAAAGGTGTGGTCCAGAGGAGCTGCCTGATAGAATCTGGAATTTCAACTGCTTGTTAATTAATTTATTTTTTGCCTATCTCGGATGCTGAGGGCATGGTTCTGAACATGTCTTCTCCTCCTCCTCCCCTTCCACCACCAAGAAACTTGACGCCACCAATGGATGCTATACATAGTGCAACGTTAATAAAATGGACCACGCTGGCTAATGGAGCACCTTGGCAGGATAATACACTGTTTTCATTCCGTAGCAAAATTCCTAATGATAATGGAAAAACTATTGCACATAGGTCAATATATGGCTGCCATTTATTAAACACAGCAAATCATTGTCAATATGGCCAAAAGCACATATGGTTGTGGATGGAATATTTATTAATGGCTTTCTCTAGGCAGAAAACAAGTGTGAGTGAAACCTTGTTGGGTTTCACGGGATACAAGATAATCAATCTCAAGAAATGATGGAAACAAATGGGGGGGAAGGCCCCTCTTTTTACGCACTCTTTTCTCAACACTTCAAAAGAAAAAATTTGGTATGTGCTTGCAAAATTTGTCACATAAGATTACAACCTAACACAACTGGGAAAAGTTCCACAGAAAAGCATATCGGGTCACATTACGGTACTATCAAGTCGTATCGGGTTCGCCTTCATCCAAGATGTAGTTCAGCTTTATGATTGTGCCGATGAAGTCGCCGAGTTCTACGAAGTCCGCCGTGACGATGTTGATACCGCTTTCGCCCGCTCTCTGAGTCCGGACCCACTGCATCATGGCAGGGAGAGCTCTAGGGAAGAAAAAGAGATGTCTATCAGTGAAAGCACAGGCAGTCAGGGGCCCTCAGTCTTGAGACTCATTATCTGTAGCTCCTGTTCAACAGATCTGACCCCTTCCATGCACATACATTTGCAATTTTTATTTTCAGTCTTCAGAATCCAGAATTAACTGCCACTGAATCCAACAGGGCTGACTCTGAACGAAGAACACAAAGAATCATTCAGAGAAGGAACACTGATTTCCTGGTGGTGGTGGAAAGCACCATCAAGCCTAGGGTTGCCAGCTCTGGGTTGGGAAATACCTGGAGATTTGGGGGGGGGTGGAGCCTGGAGAGGGTGGGGTTTGGGGAGGGGAGGGACCTCAGCAGGGTATGATGCCATAGAGTCCACCCTCCAAAGCAGCCCTTTTCTCCAGGGGAACTGGTCTTGCTCATCTGGAGATCAATGGCAGGAGAGCTCCAGGGGCCACCTGGAGGTTGGCAACTAATCAAGCCTCAGCTGATTTATGACAACGCATAGGGTTTTCAAGGCAAGGGAAGAACAGGGGTAGTTTGCCATTGCCTGTCTCCACATAGCAATCCAGGACTTCCCTGGATCCAGGTAGTCTGCCAGTTAGGGCTGACCCTTGCTTAGCCTCTGAGATCAGACAAGATCGGGCTAACCTGGACCATCCAGCCCAGGGCATACATGGATGGCTTATAGCTCTTTTATTCACTACAACCTGGAAATCCGGGTGACAGGGCCCAGTTTGTTCACCTGAATCCAAGAGGATTCAGCAGCTAAGAGATGCCTTTCTCTGCCACTTGGGTGTGCCTGCTTTCTCAAGAATGAGCTTTTTGCTGGACCCATCCAGCAAAACTCAATAATATCCAGTAGCTTTATAGTGATTACAGAGTTCAGCACCAGAAGTCTAGATTGTCTCATTGGGAGGACTCAGTGCTCCAATATAGAGCTGAGTACGCGTTTTCCTCCTGGGTAAAGGAATGGTGTACTGGATGTCTCCTCTGGCAGATGTTTCCCTAATAGCCAGCTAAAAGGGACTCACAGTGGTCTGCTACTGTTTACATGCTGCTTCTCCCATGAGATGTCCTGATCACAATTTGTACCCGTTTGTACAGAGGAGGACATCAGTGTGTTTTCCCTTTCAGAATCAACAGACGGGGAAGAAAGCAAAGGAGTATGCAATTGTGGCCACTGCCCTCAAGGGGCCTTAATGGAGATCAGGCAAGCACGGTACTCAGGTACTATTCTACCATTGCTCAAAGTGGACTTGCCCATTAAAAAATGTGAATTCAGCTTTTAGTTGACTCACACATTCATCCAAAGGCTGGTTGGGGAGAGAAGAGGATTCAACTTTAGAATTGTCATGTATCCTTAAGTCCTCTATGCCACCATTCAATAGCAACTGATGAAGCTAGACCCTTGCACTGTTTCTGGAGTTTGTCCACACTGGATAGTGCCCTTTAAACCCCCAACTGCAGCAGGAGAAAGGACACAGAGGTCCCATTCACACGCAGAAGTTGCCACGCTAAAGACACGGATGATAGGCGGATTTTCGGTGCGTGATCACACCGCAACATCTGGGAAGCGTAGTATACCCGTGGCTAACCCGTGGCTTCTCCCCGAAGATGCGGAGTAAAAAACTACCACATATGATGTACTAGTTTCCGGAAAATGCGGGGCAAGGGCGGGTGTCTGATCACGTTTCCACTTGAATCCCGTGGCATCCAGTGCCCGTCCATGACTCTTCGCACACCGGATGGTGTTTTTTTTGTAAGTCTCCACAGGATGCACACAAACAATCATGCGCATGTGCAAACGTCAGTGAGGGGGGAAATCCCATTTGCCACGAAAGCGGCGCCTAGCGATTACCGGTGTGATTGCGCCGCGCCGCTTCTTTGCCACGCTGCAAGATAGCCGTGTGATCTGCAACTAACGACCTAACCACGGGACCTTGATGGGACATGTGATCGGGCTGCCGCATGGTACTTTGCTTCGGGGTAAACAGCCACGCTCCCCCCCCCCCGTGATATCATGCAACATGGGATAGATTGGTTCAATAAAGGATGCCACAACCTTCAGATTGCAAGACATGAATAAGGCTAGATTCAGGTGGAAAGCCATGCTGGTCTGAAGGAGCAGAACAAAGTTTGAGTCCAGTGGCACCTTTAAGACCAACAAAGTTTTATTCAAGGCTTATTCCTGCTTTTGTGTGCATGCACACTTCTTCGCATAAATAAGGCTGTTAATGACAGGATGTTCTGGAGATCATTAATTCATAGGGTCACTGTAAGTTAGATGCTACTTGACGGCGCCTAGCGATTACCGGTGTGATTGCGCCGCGCCGCTTCTTTGCCACGCTGCAAGATAGCCGTGTGATCTGCACCTAACGACCTAACCATGGGACCTTGATGGGACATGTGATTGGGCTGCCGCACGTTACTTTGCTTCGGGGCAAACAGCCACACTTCCCCCCTGCAATATCATGCAACATGAGATAGATTGGTTCAATAAAGGATGCCACAGCCTTCAGATTGCAAGGCATGAATATGGCTAGATTCAGGTGGGTAGCCATGCTGGTCTGAAGCAGCAGAACAAAGTTTGAGTCCAGTGGCACCTTTAAGACCAACGAAGTTTTATTCAAGGCTTATTCATGCTTTTGTGTGCATGCACACTTCTTCGCATAAATAAGGCTGTTAATGACAGGATGTTCTGGAGATCATTAATTCATAGGGTCACTGTAAGTTAGATGCTACTTGAGGGCACATAACACAGAGACATCTGTTATCCAAGGTAGCAGCTGGCAAGCTTGGTTTGGATACAGCGGTAGATTTCTACTAATGGAAAGGGGGGAAGTTTTTTGCTGATTTCACATTCCAATTCACCCCTCTTACCACTCCTTATCCTTCAGGAGCTGCAGTGTGGGGGAGGCAAGAAAGTCCTGTACCCCTGATAGGAATCCATTCTATCAGTGGAAATTTCTGCTGCATCTATGCCGTGATCATTTTTTAAAAAGTTAATAGGTACCTTTAAAAAAATTCATACACTGGATAAAGTGTGAATGTGCCAAGACTAGCAGATTCTTGATAACTTGTGCATTATCCAGGGGGTGCTCATTAGAGAGCCAGGATCGGCCATGACTCCTTCCCGAACAACCCAGGGTTCATTGCTGCGTAATGTGTGAAATTGTCCTATATTAGCTACAAATTTCACTGGGGATAAGGCGTTCCAAGCACTTTACGCATGAGACTGTCAAAAAATCACTACTACTGTGAAGAAATGCATTTTCTCTTTGGAGGTTGGCTAGCAGCAAACCTCCACTTGGTGTTTTAAAAGCTTCCTTTCCTTTTCCTCTCTGGGCAGGGAAATTTGGATAATGGCTTTTCAGCACACCTTCATTTGAATGCTAATAGATCTAGCCAGAGAGATAATGGGTGGGTCAATCCCTCCCTCTCCCCCCTCCCCCCTTGTTCAAGCAGGTAACAGAGTGCTGGAAATATGAGAATGCTAGATGCTCTCCAGGAAAAGGATTCCTGGAGACAACAGGAAAAACGTCCTCTGACCTGGGCTGACCAGGTCAAGTGGGAGGGAAACAGAGGTGATAAAACAGCCTGGCAACAGGAAGTAGCTCTCTTTTCCTAGGATGCTGAGTTGGGGGGAGCAGGCAGAACTCTCTAACAGGAGCGAGGCCACTGTTGACCATGTGCTCATTCCCAGAGCTGGAACAGGCTTTGAGGTAATGGAGATTCTACAGAGATTTGTAACATCCTAAGCTTAAGGAGCCCGTCTTATTTTAATACCTGGTAGGGCAGGTATAGTGAGAGAGACAGAGGATTTGTGTTTTTACCAATTTCTTTTGTTTCCCTTACTCGGATCTGATGCTGTGCTAAAAGTATGCGTATAGACTTTTTTTTAAAAAAATACTTTATAACTTTGGATGCTGGTAGTGTTTCTCTGTACCACATAGACTCCCACCAGGGGAGGGGCTCCAGGGGGGTTAGCAAGTGACAGCTCCTCCTGGGGTGCCCATAAACAGTCCCCATGGGAGCCAAGCGCTGGGCAGCAGGAGACATAGAGGTGAGGCCTCTGAGCTTGGAAGGGGAGCTGGGAGTCCTGTCCCTCCCAGTGGGCAATTCCTTGGAAAAGGGCAGGTGGTGGTAGTGGGCCCAGTGTTCACTCTGAGTTAGTGTGAGCTAGCTCACAGTTTTTTAGCCTCCGGCTCACACATTTTTGCCTTAGCTCAGGAAGGATGGCTCCAGAGCAAACTAATTTATACAGTAGCCAAATTGCTCGCTCACAACTTTAATGCCAGTAGCTCACAAAGTAGAATTTCTGCTCACAAGACTCCACAGCTTAGAGGGAGCATTGGTAGCGGCTACCCTAGAGAGAAAGGAAAAAGCCCCTCTAGGGAGCTGGGAACCCCTAGGAGGGCAGGGTGGAATGGGGCCTGCAGGTCAGATCAGGCAGATTCTGCCACACTACTTAGAGCTGCCGGCTTTTTCACTCGCTCCTGTTCTTATGCATTTAACAACAGCTTGATCTGCCAATATTAGTAGGTTATAATATTTATCTTTCGGTCACGATCAAATAGCTGTTAAGGGCACAACAGCAGACCCAGCAATTTTTTCAGGTTAGCCGGCAATCTTTGTTATCAGTACTTGCAATACGCAGTGTACGAGGCATCTCCTCCCCAAATGGGTGCAATATGTACCCCGGGAAAACTTGCAGAAGAGAATTTGATTGGTTCAACTCATGGTTGCCAAAACCCTTTCTCCATTTAACTCTGTACAAGACAAGAAGTTCACAGAAACCGCCACAAACACTGACACAACTGCCAGGCCTCCGTCAACCTCCCAACGCTTTTCAGTTTTAGCGCAAAATATTCTCCGGTGTACGGACGGCGGTGACGGAAGGAAGCCGGAGCTGTCGTTTCCCCAGGGGCTTTAGGGCAGCAATACGAAACTTGTTTCCCCATCCTTATAATCTCCAGTCTCCGCATACTTCAGTCCTC